GAACTAGTGATCCCAGCATGCCCTGGGGAGGCTTTATTTCACAAGGAGGGATATTTAAATAGCAATTATTTTCAGGCTGTGATAACTGATGAACACAATTAATAACTCTTCCTCTAAAGGTGCCCATACACTGCACGATTATCGTACGAGAATCGCTAGAAATCTGCGCGATCGTACGATAATCGTGCAGTGTATGGAAGGCGTGCGATCGTTTCTACTGTACGGTCGCACGACTTTTGTATTTCGAACATGTTGGAAAACCCGCCGAGAATCGTACGATGTTCGGCTGGTTTTTAGCATGATCGAGAGATAACTGCCGAACGGGCCGGTGTGCTCACGCGCACACTGCCCGTTCGGCATTGCGGTCATCGGAAGCCCACCCCTAAGTGGGGCAGGCTTGCGATGATCGCAAGTACGATCTGCCTGTCCAAGATGGGCAGATCGTACGTTTTTTTAAATTACTTTACAACCCTCGCAAGACTGGTTGTAAAGTGTATGGCCACCTTTAGCCAGGGGTGTCAAACTCAATTGAATCGTGGGCCGCATCAACATTATGGTTGCCCTCAAAGGGCCTGTAAGACTATATAAGTGTATCTAATCTTTATCATAATTGCCTCTGCATTCGATTATCACTGGTTTTACCAATAACTTAATACCTAGATCTGAAAGCCTAGAAGTCTAGGAAATGGCCTGGTGGGCCGGATTCGGCCCCTGGGCCTTGAGTTTGACACATGTGCTCTAAGCATTCTGCTACAGAACTAAAAGCCCCAGCATGCCTTCATAGCCCAAACTGACTTTTAGGCTAGGTTCACACCCAGGCGAATCAGATGCTGAGCTGTTTTCACTGGGTTGTCGCCCGTTTTCGATTGCGTGACTGTTCATTGTAATCCACGCGATTGTCATTGCATGGAGATGTCTATGGGACCCAAACTGCGCGACAATCGCCTGAAAATACCTCCTGCACCTTTTCGCGCAACAGGCCATTTCGGTCGCGCGACAAACCGCAAAGGTGTGAACAGCCTCCATTGACTTAAATGCGAATCTGTGTTTTGCGCGATATCGCACGACTCAAACCACGCGATAAATCGCCTAGGTGTGCACTGGCCCTCGGGTAATGCATAACAACATGCATTATGCATACTGGTGGGCTGCAGAGCCATTCTTTCTTAATGGCACCCGAACACACCTTACCAGCGCACCTGCGTTACAAAAATAGTGCATGCTCTTTTTTTTTTTTGGTGCACTTTGCCGCATTAGGCATGCCCATTTATATAAATGGGCTGCCGTAATGCAAACGCGCGTTAACGCATGACCTGAAGTGCACTCATGCACTGCAGAAGTTTGAATACACCCTTCATAAAAGAGCTTTATAAACTGCAGTGGAACTTCAAGTCCCATGTCACCCGTCACAAAGCATTGTGGGATATGTAGTGCCATAAGACCTAACTGCCAAAACCAATCAGAATTCATTTTACCATGGTGAGATCAGCGAGAGAAGAATTTTGATTGGTTGCTATGGGTTACTGCTTTGCTAGATCAACCCGTAAAAATGTAATAAAGATGCATCGATAGACTTATGCAGCATTCCTTCACCACGCGTTGCGCAGTGTTTTCTGTAGCCTTTCGGCTGCAGCTAAACCAAACCAGATTCAGAGCGCTTTGCAATTCAAATTCCCCCCTTACATTTAATATTTATTATAATCGTCCTGTCACAGCCGATTTACCCAAAACCGCTGCTGCAAAAGGCTAAGAGTGATCCTTCAGGGGTCATTCACAACAGTGGCATTGGGCTGCGTTACCCAACCCAGTCCCAGCGCAGTGCTGTTGGGGTGTGCTAAAAAAATATACTCGACATGTTGCAATTTTGCGCGTCGTGTCGGATCGCAACAGACGACAGCGTATAAAAACATGAACAGTTAATACATAAAAAAATGAATAATTAAATAAATAAAGCACTGCAATGGGTGTTAACAATGCATTCAAATCAGTGCACCCAATCAGTGCTTCAGATACATTACAATGCAATCAGTTTGCACGAAATCTTCAGCAAAGTTTGGACTGTGTCCCATAAGCGGCAACATTCACTGAACTAACCCAAATCCCCAATATTCAGCCACCCAAATCCTTATTATAGTCATCAGTGATCTTTATGCCTGGACTAGGGGGG